AACCTTGTTCAATCCTGTAAGATTATTCTGTATATTTCTTTCAGAGGTAATTTTCATATAACATTCTCATAATCTCTTGTGCTATTTTCCATTTAGGCTTGGTAATATGTTCATCATTCACCTCTGTCTTCTGTTTTCAGCTGCATTATGATCATCAAGTACTTCTTGATTACCTTATATCTAAAGATATTGGGGCTAGCTGCGCAGAGTACCTGCTGAGGTTAATCCTTTTCTCTTAAGAATTTGCATATCAACTGCTCCATCTTGAGTAATAAGATTGGATATGATCTGTTAGTTTGTGTGAGACCAGCCATGTTAGCTCGTACTCTAGTCTTTGAATGATTTCTCTAGTTTACAAATTACGTTATGAATTTTCCAAACAAATACTTATAGGTTGATTCCCATATGACATCCGCTGTTTTTTCCTGGTAGATGCTTGCGTGCAGTATGTGATTCATGGACTCTATTTGTGGAATTCCCATTTGAAGGAAGTACAGATGCTCCATCTCCGAAGAGAAGAAAAGTTTTGCCTGAGACTTCTGAGGTTGAACAAAACTGGAGATTACATGCCCAGGCTTTTGAAGACGCCAAAGATTGTCTGCTTTCGTTACAAAATTCAGTTGTTAAGCTACATCAGAAGAAACTGTTTCCATACAACCCAGAGGCTCTTCTACGACGGTCAGTCTTATTTTCGCAACTTGTAAACTCACCTACGCATATAAATCAGCTAAATAAACCTTCTTCTATTGTGAGGCAGTTTGTCAAGGTTTCATGAGCTCTGTCTATCCCATGAGTAATATATCTGGACCAAAGGTAAATCAGTTGCAAATATGGATTCAAAAGAACTGTTATATGAAAATTGTCATATGCTTATGGTTTAGCAAAATGTTGTGATCCTTAGTTTGTGGGTTGCGGTAATTAGGAAGTCAGATTCAACAAATTATACTTCTCTGTTAGCTGCTAGATAAGTCTCTAACCTCTCAATTTGGTGCTTCTCAGGTGAGATTCTCTGAGACAGAACAGAAGGATCAGATGCCAACACAAAGAAGTCTCCTTTCCAGATCAAATTTCAAACTAATCGGCTCACCAGTAGAAGTGTATGTAAGTTTGAGAATCTCATGTCTAATCGAATTTTCTTGGGGTACTTCTGACACAAGTGTAGCTGACATGAGCTGTGTTTCTGCAGAGAGATCCTACATTCTTTGGTTGGTGCAGCTGCTATGAAACAGAGAGCATTATGTTCTTGCCTCCACAATCCAAATCTGAATGGTATAAGATACTCTCTAGTCAAGCTAATGTGAAACTGCCCCAGCCAATTAGAGTAAGCAATGAAGTGTAGAATATCAAGAATCACAAATATTGAAACTCTCTTATTCATATCATAGATGTAACTGAGCCCAAATCATACACAGGTGTCATCATTTTACATTTAGTTATATTTCGCTGCTATTTCTTGTAGCAGTTGAGAAAGTTCATGAGGCTTAGTGAGCATAGCCATGTGACCAGCTTCTTCAATCCGCTTAACTTCGTGAGGCTCGTAGTTACTAATCATCCACTTCTGAATCTCCTCTGGAACCACATTGTCGCCTTCACAGACAATAAACACTCTCTTCCCAGATCCATACCTCTCCTTTGTTATCAGATCTTCACCTCCCATTTCCTTAGTGTATAACCAGCTTGGTTTCATCAACGCCATGGCTAATTCTAGATCCTGCAATCAGATTACCAATCAGTGACCACCTGATCTCAGACAAACTATGCCATAATCATAACTGTAGTGGACACACCTCTAACTGGCAATTACTATATGCCTTCTCCTTCAAGAAACTAGTACCGAACAAAACTGAACTTGGTGGGTGTTCTAATCCTTCCTCGAATGTAAACTCACAGTCCATAGCGAAACCCTCTGGTAGTCTCGTAAAATACTGCAAACAAACAGAAAGTGACAAGAGATTATAAGATAAGTTCTTAAGAATGGTACCAAACAAAATAAGATAAGAAGAGACTAATTTCTTTTTCCGGCGACCTCTTGAATCAAAACCGCCGGAGGAGAGTCATGGTGCGGCATGTAAGCAGAGAGGAAGATTCCGACAGAGACTTTGGTCGGAAACCTTTCCATAGCAAGAGAAGTTCCAATGCCACCATAGCTATGACCAACAAGAACCACTTTCTCGTTTTCAGGGAGAGACTCCATGAAACTCATCAAAGGCTCTAGATACGCCGACACCAAACGAACCTCATGGAGCTGCCTCGTGTCGACACCGGAGCCACCAAGGTCGATAGCTGTCACACGGTGACCATCGAGCTTGAGCTTTGCAGCTAGTTTGAACCAGCACCATGCTCCATGACATGAGCCGTGGACAAAGACGAAGTGATGGAGTTGTTGTTGCTGCATGTGGTGTGTTTGCATTTGGTATTGCTTTTGGTATGTCATGTTATCTTTTGTCCATTCGTGTGTTATATATATACACATCAGGGCACATAGTTTTCTGGTTCTGCTTATAACTCTTGGTTTACCAATTCGACCTTATTTGGACGGTTAGGATACGTGTTTCATACTTTATCTGTTTATGATTCCAAGAAGGCAATAATAATTACAGTATAAGATTAAGGAAAAAATCTAAAAAATCTAAAAATGGGGTGAATCTCTTACTCCCTCTGTTTCTATATGTAGTTTTAGGATTTTGTTTTTTTGCAAAATAAGTGTTAGTTTTATTTTTCTATGCAAAAATTAAATGTACTTAATAGTTTTAGACCAATTATGTTTTACATCATATTTTCTTATTGGTTACATCATATTTTCTTATTGGTTGATTTAGTTGTAGTTAATGATATTTTATTAAAAATAGATGTAATAATTGAAAATTTTGTGTTTTCTTAATTTGTGTAAAAAATCTGTAAACTATAAATAATGTGAAGCAGAGGGAATAGTATTTAAAAATTACACAATTATACAATCTCTTATTATGTTTTAAATATTGGGTTATAGATTATAGTATACTGCGAAAGGTTTATGATTACAATTTTTGGTTATACTCACACCTTACCATGTAAAAGCAAAAAAAAGTATTGGACAGTTAAAGTTATTTTTATTCTACGGTTTTTTTTTGCTTCGAATAATTACAATTTATGAAAACATTAAACATTCTAAAGCCATTTAAAATGGACCATATTCTTAGTCTAACTGTCTATATGATCCCATATTATTATTTCGTGATACGAAATATATCATACTTTTTTTTTTTAAGAATGATGTTTACCTCTTGTTTGAGGTTTGTCTTTATGTACGATTCATAAAATCGTCGGCAAAAATAAAATTTTCAATTAGTGGGTTAATTATTCTTAATTAGTGGAGTAATTGATATTATGAAGTAGAAAAGAGATTGCGCAACAAGAATAAAATATTAGTCGGTTAATTAAGGGTTTCACGCAAAAAAAAAGTAATGACTTTTTGTTAATCAATGGAAAGAAAAAAATTAAACGGTTAAAGTTAAGAACGTGTGAAAACAATATGCAAAGGCATTGTGGAATCAGAAGTCCATAGTGACAATTGACAAATATGAAACTGTTCAACTTTTTTTTTCTTTCTATCTATCTCTTTAAATCTTGTCAGTGCAAGTCAGATCAGTTAATTATGACATTTACTCGGCCATTGCAACTTTTTCGAGTCAGTATTTGGTTATCTAAACGTTACAAGAGAAATGACAACAAGAGAAATATAACGTTTGATTGGATACAGTGTACAAAATAGACTAAATTAACCGTTCTATTTTAGAACAGTCAATAAATCATCACAGATGATGATTTTTTATGTAGAAAAGTCTGTAGTTAGTCAGCCCAATACCGTTTTTTTTTCATCTACACTATAATAAATTATAGGTTACGAATGTTAAATAAAAAGCGGTTCGAACCGCAAACGGATTCGTCCGCTCTAATCGCCATAACCATTTGAATCCATAAGGTATGGGAATAAAAATTAGGTGAGATGCATATTTTTTTGTGTGTTTAAGCTTTCTGTCTGAGATATTGTTTTTCTTCAAATATTGGTAATGGCTCAAGAATTCTCAAACAAATTTCTTATTTTAACAATGTAGTATATAATAATATCTCAATAAACACTTATTTGAATCTAGGGATATAAACTGGATATATTTGGTGCTTTTCATAATTGTGCTCTTCATACCAAAAAAAAAAAAGATGGTGCTCTTTATTTATACAAATCTAAAATCGAAAAAATTTCTAACAATTTTAGTCAGTCTAGGTTCATATTTTTATACATATTTAAAACAATATCTTTAAAGATAAATAGATTGAGAAGAATATAACACATGTCTTAAGCTTATTTGACCCAATATACTGTATATGCAATTATTTTCCTTTCTACAATATCCTTTTAGTGGTATTATTAAAAGATCATTTTTGGGGGTTATTTTGCTTAATTAAGAATGAATAAATTTTGAACTTGGAAGGAAATCCAACTACGCAAGTACAACCCAATGCCAAAATAAGCTTTCAAAGAGAAAGTGAAGAAGAAGAACAAATATTATATGCTGTGGTTTCGGGTCTGGAAGAATTACGAGTTTCGGCTTCGGCCAAAAACCTCCTGGTATTTAAAAAAAAAAAGAAAAAAAAAGAAAAAAAAAGAAGAAATAATTCATTACGAGAAAGAATAAATGACAACCTAATAATGGAAATAGTCCAAAAGCTTGAGAGCACTAAAAGAGAAAAGAGAAGGAAACAAAGAGTTGAAATAGACGAGAGAATTAAATATCTATTTAGCAATTTACAGTAACATGTCCTTCATATAGAAAGACAATAGATCTATCAATAACGAATGACCTCAGAAGAAGACTGTTACGATCATCAAGAGGCACTTTCAACAGTAAATGCAACTAAAAGAACGTGTGTGCAAAATGAGTTAAACCCTGATCACTGTGAGATAAGTCATGAGCGGTTTGAAGCATCTTGTTGGTCACGTTTATCTCAAAGATCCTTTCGAAGATTTCCCATAAAAAAAAAAACAAAAAAAAACATTAGAATTATACAGAGATGATTAGCATGACCCTTACACAATGATGACACGAGAAACGGCCCAAAAAATTGTCATAGTTTTGATCGGGAAACCCATAATTTCTAATATTGGATTAACTTAGCTCTAATATTATATTGAAAAATGCATGGGTTTACCATTTAAACCTAGTTGACAATGAGTAAAAAACCTCATGTTGTTATAAACGGATAATCTATCTTTTCGATTTTATTTTATATAAGATTTAGCCATTAAAAGACTTTTTCTCCAACTTATAAGATTTTTTCACCAAGCCTTTTGTTCGTATATATATATATATATGTTGGTTCGTTGTTAAACAAGATATAAGAAGAATAAGAAGTCTTTCGTTATTATTCTCTACATCTTCTTCTCGTGAATTCTTTCTCATACACATATATTAAAATAATAATATTGAGCAGTGTTATATTTTATGACACATGTTGCCTTATATATTAGAGTAAAAATACCCAATCTATCTATGTGAGACATTTTAATATAGACTGATCTAGCTGGGGAAAGTGATTTTAGAGGACATATATGACACCATCGTTGATTGGAAGAACAATACATGAACATTTTCTTGTTCATAAATCATTATGAATTTATGATTTTGGGATAAGACCTCTTGAAAAGATTGTAGAAGCAAGGTCCTACCACAACCTCTTTCCTCATCAGATGCTTCTACAATCAATGATAGAGAAGATGAGAACAAGATAAATATCACTTTCCACAATGAATAGCACATGTTTACCTCAAGGGTCTACATCTACTTTAGAATGGTGGGACTTTCCCAATTTGGGATTTTGCAGCCTGTGTCACAGTAAGATTTGATGAACCATACCGTTCAAAATAGTGTTCCTGATCCATGATCGTTGCTTTGCGTTTTCACTTAATAGACAAAAACAATCACCATGTATCAAGATTTGATCCTTCCTAACTTGATTAAGTTGCATAACAGCACAACCTAAGGCCCATTTAATAGTTTTTAAAAGCCCAAAAGGAATGTTTCCCTGAATTTCCGACCACGCGCTTAAAAAAGAACTCGATTTCCCTGAATTTTGGAGATTTCTGGTGGTGTATTACACGCGCTATAGGTGCGTCTGTGTGTTGGACACATGATATTTTTTTTTTGTTCAACGGGATACATGAGAATATATACTAACATTAGTTCACAACAACTTGAAGAAAGTTATCTTAACTACACAAAGTCAAAAGATTCTAAAATTACAAAATTAGAGCAATTTGAAAAAGTTAATTCAAGTATGTGTATTTACTTAGAAATAAAATTATTTGTTAACAAAGACCATTTCCACATAGAGTCATACGATAATTAACCTCCGGCAAGAAGTTAAAGCCAACCACGTCCTTAAATTCCTTCTATAATATCGATTAGTCTCCATTTAATCAAAGCTTTAAAGCTTTTCTGAAGAAAATGCCTCTTGTTGAGCTTCTTACAAGTGCTGCTCTTGGATTGTCCCTCCAACTCCTTCACGAGGCCATCATAAGAGCCAAGGAGAAAACCTTAATCACAAGATGTATATTGGACCGTCTCGATGCTACACTCCATAAGATAACTCCATTTGTCATTAAGATCGATACCCTCACCGAAGAAGTCGATGAACCTTTCAGAAAAGTCATCGAAGAGCTTAAACGTCTTCTCGAGAAAGCCATTCGTCTCGTTGATGCTTATGCGGAGCTTAAACTCCGAAACTTACTCAGGAAATATAGGTTTGTGAATGTCGTTAATCATTTCCATATGTAAATGTAATGTAGTGTTAAATTATACCAACCAAAGTATATACTTTAACAAAAAAATATCCTACCAAAATCTTTTATTTTTCATGCAATTTTTTTGTTGTTGTTGTGAATCTTTCTTTAGGTACAAGAGAAGAATCAAGGAGTTGGACTCTTCTTTGAGATGGATGATAGATGTGGATGTTCAAGTCAATCAATGGCTGGATATCAAAAAACTTATGGGTAAGATGTCTGAAATGAACACTAAACTCGATGATATTACGCGTCAACCAATGGATATCATCGAAGCAACTGGTCGATCTTCTGAAGAAGATGGATGCACAAAGCCAACGATTGATATACACTTTCGATGGAAAAACCAGACCAAAGAGCACGAGATCCGGTTCATCTTCAAATGATTTGTTAATGTAACGATCGTGTCCTAGACCACAAAATGTTTTTTGAGAAAAAAAAAACTCAACAAATGTGATATAGTTTTTGGAGTGTTGGAATTATTGTAGGTGAATGTGTGATGTAAGTATTAATTTACCAACATTTTATCTTATTACTTTTGTTAAGCATTTTATATTGTTATTACTGGAAATGGTATAACTAATATATTAATTAGTTCACAACCTTATGTTATTATAAACTTCTGAGAACATTCCAATGGTTGACAAGACAAATAACTCTTGTGCCTTTTATATACAATATCTCTTATTAGATTGAACATCACGTAACGTATGTTCATACACAAATGATTTGACAACATTTGATATGTCTTCATAAATTGATTGCGAGACAATTGACTATGACTATGAGATAAAAATCATCCAAAATCCAAACTAACTCTGCATGGATACATATCAATTTGCACACTTAGTTTCTTATTCGTATGAGATACAAATGTGCATGATGCATCATAAGTACTCTATTATAGTTGAAATTTGGTTAAGAACCAACTATTATCTATCTGAATCTCTATTATATTATATTACTAGAAGTTGTCCACGCGATGGGTGAATTATATATTCGGTTTTAATTTTGAATATAGAATAATATTTATATTAAATTAGATATAAAATTTATTTATAATTGTTAATATATCGCTCAAAATAATTAATAATTAATAATAGTAATTTTGATGTTTACAAAGTATGATGTGTTTAGAAAGACACATTAGTTGATTAAAAATTATGCACACAATTGCTTTTTTTGTTTTGTGAAAACAGTATGTTTTACTATTAAAAAAACTTAAATATTAAGTATTTGTTTTTGTGAAAATGCAAATGCATGTATTACCAATTGTCTTGGAAAAAAAAATAGATGAACCTTCTTCGTAGGAAAAAAGTCAGTTCAGAGGAAAAAAAAAGTCATATAAAATATGAGAAATGTACAAAAAAGGACAAATTATATATATAATTTATCTATAATTATTAATATATAACTCGAAAGTAATTAAAAATATGATTTAAGATGTCTCTTGGAAAACCTTTTTACTTGACTAAAACCCTTTTATTCAAATTATTTGTAATATTTACGTTTATTTACGTTTATCAATTTTTCATTTCCATCTTATAAATAATCACTCTCTCATTTTCCACTATATTCATGTATATATATATCTTATGTTGTTATATCGGTAAAACACAATTTTATATAATAAAAAGATAGAGGTAAGTTGATTCTTCCGAAGAACCGGAAGCGAAGCACTATACTGAGGTGGGGGAACGGGAAAAGAAAAGTCCTAAAAATAAATTGGGGTTCTCTTTGCCCAATGAGATGAGCCAACCCCGAGATGTTTTACGCCCAACCCACAAGGTTCTGAGATAGAGATTAACTTGAGTCTTGGTTAAGAATGTTATGATCTACGATTTCACACGACACATGATTCCATGTATAGTGTCATTCGACATTGTGATGGAAGACATAGCTTATGATCATCGGTTTTGAACATGACGCTAGAAATTTGATTAAGATATCTAATTATTAAAAATTAAACTTCTTATATGGATAAAAAGATTTAGCATATTTTGGTAGCGTAATGTAGATTTGTATGTGGTAGGACAAAATAAATTAACTACCTATAGCAAATGAGTGAAAAGTTTGTATATATATTTTCTACCCTAAATTATGTAAAATACATGTTTTCTGTGGATAATGCTGTCTATTGGCAACGACTGTTGGCATTACGCTAACTCATCAAGGAATCATTATTACTTCTCTCCAATTCATGATCAGCTTTTGACACAAGACAAAAAACTTCTTGTGTAAAAAAAGCTAAAGAGAAGAAACTGATGTTACAAAAACTATGTTAATATGATTCGAGAAGTTAAAATAAGGAGAACAAAGAAATGTAACTAATAGTTAAACTTTTAGAGGATTTTCTGATTTAAAATTAGAACATGGTAAAATTTATAAAATTATGGTATAAAAAAAACTAAAGATGGAAAAATTCTTGTAAAATTGGAGAATTATTTACAGTAGTGAACTATTACTTTGTAGTATAAAACATAATATCATGTCAAAATTTTAAAGATTTGATTTTGTAATTAGTTAAGGGAGTTGCAATTATGGTAGAAAAAATTCATTTCAAAATTGTAGTTTAATATGTAGTAATTTCATAGTTTAATGACTATTTTTCTAAATATATGATATATCTATTAAAAAATTATTTTAGTCAAATTACAATTAATGATAAGTACACGTGTCATTAAAGTAGAGTACCAAATGTCGCATTGGTAGGCAAAGTTAAAAAATGTTATAAAATAATTTAATAATATATATATATATATATATATATAATATTTATGACTAAATAAACATTAAAATGTTTAACTACATTTTAAATAAATTAATCGTTTTATAGTTGGTTCGGAACACCTTGGTTGTCTTGGTACTGTGAGGAAACAACTTAATTTTGTTTAGTGAATATCTAAATAAGGTTTCAATTAACATTGTCAAACTTAAAAAAAAAAAAGGAAGTAAACTAAGATGACAAATAAATACTTTTTTCTATATAGTAATCTTTAGTAATCATAGTCTAAGAATTTCCCTCTATTTCATGAAAATAAGGTTTCAATTAACATTGTCAAACTTAAATAAATAAAGGAAGTAGACCAAAAAAACAAGTAAATACTCTTTTCTATATAGTAATCTTTAGTATTCATAGTCTAAGAATTTCCCTCTATTTCATGAACTTCTTCAACCTTCTTCTTTGTCTTCCTTGCCTAGACAGAAAAAACAAATGGAGATACACAATCACGGATAATGAGTAGGTACTTTCGGATTTGATTATTCTAGCAAGAATAATTATGCATCTCAATGGA